AGTTGACACAATGTTTACAGTATGTTTACACAGCGTTTTAAATCATGGCGGGTGAGGGCGTTTTCATACGCGTTTGACCAATCAATGTCTACTTACGTCACGATTAGTACCAGTTGTGCCGGTTAGAAAAAGGCAGTCCGTTACTAAAATCGCACCCAGTTCCGGCGGTGCGAAAATGCCAAAATGCATAGTTCCACAATTAGTTCTGGTACTATGAAAAGGTTCCCGCGGTGCGAAAGGCCCTAATGTGTGCATCTATATATATATATGGCAGGTACGGCTATTTATTTCCCCTCGCTGGGGTGGGGTCTTTGCATGGGTTTGAGCTACAACCTTTCTGTTTATTGCTGCTCAAGCGCACTCTGCTGTGAGGTTGGTCTCTTTGTTTTCATCCCAGACCTTCCCAACCCCAGATTTATCTACTCATATTCAGCTTTAACAGCATCGGTAAATCGGGCTCAGCTCTACTCGCTCTCTACAGGCCTAAAAACCCTGTCGCAAAATGGAGGGAGCTGTTTGTCCACGAGCCTGTAAATTTCTGGAGCTTTTTAAAGAGCTGCCTGCCGCCCCTAAGACCCCAATAAAGAAGAGTATCCAGAGTCGAATGAACAGTGAATGAGCTTCAGCTCAGCGGGATGGAAGAGACCTTATACCCACTCAAATTCTTTTCTCTGTTTGACAGAGGTAAATGGAAGTTGGGGCCTGCTTCATGGTAGTTTGGGGGCCTTGGGGGCCCATGATTTGAGGTTGCTATTTTTCTCTGCAGGGTTTTTGCCGTCGCTATGGCTGTGGAATCTGCTTTAGTTGGAAATTGTCATCACCCAATTGATTGTGTGTTTTCATGTGCCTCAGCACTAACCTGTAATGGTCATGTTAAGAGTTGCAATTCGGTATGGAAGCTTATTTCCACCACAGAATAAAAATTGTATAAAGGTAATTGCAACTTCTTATCTCACAGTTCAGATTTTTTTTCTCGCAGTTGCAAATTTATATCACACTCATTCTGCCTTTTATTCTCAGAATTGCAAGTTTATATTATCACAATTGTTTGTCATAAAACTTGCAATTGTGAGTTTACATCTTGCTATTTTTACTTTTTTCTCAGAATTCCAAGTTTACATCTCGCAATTAATAACTTGCAATTGCGAGATATAAACATGGAATTCTTAGGAAAAAATCTGAATTGTGAGTTCATAACTCGCATATGCACGTTTACATCTCGCAATTCTGAGTTTTTTCTCCAAATTCTGAGTTTAAATCTCACAATTAATAATTCGCAATTGCAAGATATAAACCCTAAATTCTGAGAAAAAAGTCAAAATTGTTAAATTAAAACTTTTTTTTTGCAGATTTACATCTAGCAATTCTGACTTTTTTCGTCCAAATTCTGAGTTTACATCTCACAATTATTTCACAATTCGAAGAAAAAAGTCAGAATTGTGAGTTTATAACTAAGAAGTATGACACTTTTTGTTTTAATTCCGAGTTTACATCTTACAATCAATAACTCGCAATAGCAAGATATAAATTCTCAGTTCTAAAAAAAGAGATTAGTATTATGAGATATAAACTTACAATTCTGAGAAAAATAAGAAGAATTGTTGGATAAAAAGTCGAAATTTGTATTCTCTGGCAGAAATAAGCTTCCATAATTTGATGGTGTGGAGAATAGTGGACAAACAGCGGCAGAGCTGACATCTGTCCATTAAACGGACTGTCCTCTCCAATGAAATCACACAAGAGTCTGGCCAATAAACTCTAATGGGTCTGTCAATCCAAATCTCCAGTTGTAGCATGTTCTTGTGTACTAAGATAGATGCCTGGATCAGGCCACCAGAATGGGATATGTGTGTCTGTGTGGTAGACCCTCAGTGTGTGTCTGTGAGCTGTTTTTGTGAGGTCCAAGCTTATGGCACTCACTGGTTCCCATGTAGCATTTACTCCAGTGTAATGAATCACTCAGCAAATGTTGCTCTTGGACTAACTGGTTGGAAAGGACGTAACAGGGGAAGAATATAACAGCAGGGAGGGTTCACCCTGCCACCAAAACTACAACCAAAAATTGCCTGAACTGTACTCTAAACTATGATTATTTACATTACTGGACCCTGCTGAAAAGACCAGTTTAAACCAGCATGAATTCTCATGCTCGTCCAGGTTGGTATATGCTGGTTAGGGCTGGTTGGATGCTGGTCTAGCTGGTAAATACATGCATTTATTTGACCAAAAATACAGTAAAACAGTGATATTGTGAAATATTTAAAATAATTACCATAGAATTTAAAAGAACAGTTTTCCATTTTAATATATCATAAAATGCAGTTTATTCCTGTGATGGCACAGCTAAAGTTTGAACAGCCATTATTCCAGTCTTCAGGGTCACATGATCCTTCAGATTGAGCCTTCAGATTCCTTCAGAATTTTTTCAGGATTGTTTGATAAATAAACATTTCAAAATAAAAGCATTTATTTGAAATATAAATCTTTTGTACTGACCCCAAATTTCTTAACAGGGGTTGTAAAATAGTAAAATATATTGTTAATCAATATTAATAATATTTTCCACATGGTTTTTCTCTAAATGTACACAAGATAAAAAAACATTTATTTTAGGGGTGCTCAGATTGATTGGCTACCGATTACTATCGGCCAATAATCGCTTTGGGGTGATTGATCGGCGGTCTCTATAAAGGCTGATCTAAAAAAAAAAAAAAGATCTCAAGCTGATGACTCGCCTGCCGTCAGAGGTTTACGGTGGCCGAGAAGTGCAAAGCAAATCACAATTCTGAAAACAAAATAACAAATTACAAACGCAAATGCAAGTTTAAAAAACAAAATAACAATTCAGAAAGCACAACAACAATTCAGAAAACATTATAACAAGTACATTATGTGGAAAATAATGTGTTTTTTGGACCTTAAACCGCATAAACACATTGCATTACACCAAATACACTACATAATGTTCTTTTTAGCAACGTCATATGACCCCTTTAATAGAAATGAAATTATATATGAAGGTAGACTAAAGTCATACTTCAGTGGTTCAAAAAACCTTCTATAGTTCAGCTAATTAAATAAATCTGAAGTATAAAACATTTCCATTCAATTTCAATTAGCAAGCAGTTTACTTTTCAAAATCATTACATTCAGTTTGTACTTAAGTATATTAAAGTATATTATTTTCATAATAGTACTCTTTTTTTGTAATAAGTGTGCTAAAGTGTACTTTTCCCACAAGGTAGATATTAAAGAGATCTCTTTGTGATTTATATTTCCATATGAGGCAGGATGCAGATACTGTAGAGAAACATGTAAAATGAGTACCATACTGAATGAGAGGGAACTGTGATTAAGTGGAGTCAATTGTATTAAGCAAAGTGATCAACGCTTCGCTCATCATAATGTGAAATGATGAACTTACTGCTCCGATGAGCTGAACTACACTGCTTCAGAGCTAAAATCATGTGAAAGACTCAAGGAACTTAGCTGATTTAAATACAGAATGCTCTTCAGCCTTAAAGTTTTTATCAGAATTGTCTTATTCAGTCCATGACTTTTCCAGGATTTTTTCATCTGCCTCTGCTAGTAAATCACTTTCAGGCATTATTTAAAATCTCATAGTGATGTTTCATATACTTTGCCCAGCATGAGATGACGGCTGTAGAAAAGGGAGCAAATTGCCATTAGATGTCTGAAATATGAAATACATCTGTTTTTATACACTTACAGATCTCACATCACAGATTTCACCCAGTTATTAGTACACTATCATTCCAATGTTTGGGGATCAGTAATTTTTTCTAATCATTATCATAGTTTCCACAGAAATATTAAGCAGCACAACTATTCTCAACATTGTTAAAAATAAATTATTCTTGAGCAAATCAGTATATTAGAATGATTTCTAAAGGATCATGTGAAACTGAAGACTGGAATAATGATGCTAAAAATTGAGCTTTGCATCAAAGGAGTAAATTACATTTCAAAATATATTCAAATAGATGTTATTTTAAATTGTAATACTATTTCACAATATTACTGTTTGACTGTATTATTAATCAAATTAATACAGCCTTGGTGAGCATAATAGACTTCTTTCAAAAACATTTAAACATCCTACTGACCCCAAACGTTTTATATATCAAATCAATCAGCCATTCAATCAAACTAATACTGTAACAAAGTAGAATCAAAACATTTGTAGCAAGAGGTAAAAAAGTCTATTTGTGAGAATTTCACTAAATGAACAGATACATTTTCATATACACCAATATAAAATTCCAGCACCAAACACTGAACAGCAATATTTACCTACAGTACGATTTTTCGTATTATTATTATCACATAAAAATAATTTTAATACATTAAAATGCCATGCAGGGAATTTAAATGATTTGTTGAATCAGAGTTATCAATCAGATAGTTTGAACTGATTCATGAAAATGAACGTTTTTGTTATCTTGTTCAATTTTATATATCACCTGCAAAATAATAAATAAATCATAAATAGTTGAAACACCCCATAATTAATGTAGAGTCATTTCTCTGGACTTTATCACTTTGCCAGGGCTCAGATAAATTTTTGGGTGAACTATCCCTTTCACTTTAAAAAAAGTCGACATGAAATTAAAACAGACCATATTTGCTTATGATCTTATTGTGCATGATTCCTCAGTGCACATAATTGTCTTCAATTAATCAAAATGCAATAACTTCCTCCACCTCTAAAGCACATAGATCACACAGACAGAGAAAATTATGTTAGCCTACAGGCAAATAGCTTTAGACGTTTTTCTTGGTATTTCAACATTTCAAAAGCCTTGCCAGTTTACCAACGTGAATGCCATTTCATATACTCACTTAGCACAATAATTGCTTAACACTTTCTATTTATGGCATGTAGTTCTTAAGCAGAAGATCAGACTTTATTGCAAACCAGTATGCGATAATGAATTTATTGCAATTATTCTGATTTCTTCCTCTCCTACTCTTTTTAGGTATACCACGGTACCTGAGTCAGCCGGAAGCTGCGTCAGTGCGGGCGGGTGACAGTCATGTGCTAAACTGTGAGGTGAATCCAGACCTGGTGTCTTTCATCCGCTGGGAACAAAATAAAGAGCCGGTTGAGCTGGACCAGAGAGTCTTCACACTGCCCAGCGGGGCTCTCGTCATCAGTAATGCCACAGAGGCAGACGCTGGACTGTACCGCTGCGTCATCGACAACGCTGGGCCCACCAAGACCAGTGAAGAAGCAGAAATACAGATACTGCCTGGTAAATAATCCATATTTCCATACATATTCCTATTCCATACTTGGAGTCATATCATCAACCATACTGTAATGTTGCAAATTAAATTATGTCCATGTCTTTTTTTTTGGAAACTTTTGCTAATGTAAAAAGCTTTATCTGCAATTTAATATTTAGACTGATTTACCGATTGACATTTAAACAACATTTTAATAACAGAATAATAGTAAATTCATGAAAATGATCCTAGTTAACAAAAATATGTATTTCATGACAAACATAAATTTAGTCGGGTATTTTTTTTTAATTTTTAATTTTTGGGGAAAGGCCAATTCCCTGGCATTTATAATGAAAAGGCCAATTCCCCTGCATTCCTCACAAAAAAAAAATAAAAAATGCAAGACATTAATTCTGATGATTCAGAATCAATTGATTCTCGTTGATTTTTCATGCACTACTGAAACTCACACATTTGAGAGGAGAGAGAGAGTTTTAAAGTAGACCTCCTGGAGCAGGATGGCCACATGTGGTGTTATCAAAGAGAACTATGTAAATTATGCTAAAGGTAAAGAGAACTGAGCTCCTTTGTGGCAGATATTCAGCATGCAGATTTATTTTTCCAGGCAGTCATGAGCACAGAGTCAGATATTAAAGAACATAAATCAGGTCTGAAGCACGGAGGTCGTCACACTAAACATGGAGCAGGAGGCAACATGATGCAGCAATATGTAAAGAGAAATAGACACTCCTTTTGAATTTCTTTTTCCCTCACTGAAAAAAATAATAATGAGGTTTAAAGAGAAAGCTTTTTAAAAGCTTAAGCCTAAAAGGTGTATGCTGTAAATGTTAAAATAAATGCTATAAATAATGTAAGTAAGCCATTTGTAATTTTTTTTCCAAACATTGCTGTTTGTTTGAGCATCACATGTCAAACTCAGGCTCAACTGATAGTGTGAGTTTGGGGCGGGACAAACTGTTTATCTGACCAATGGCGGCCGAAAACATGTGTTAGGAAGCTTTAGAAAAACTGTTTCAGTTTATTTTTTATTCAATTTGTTGCGACTAGTGGTGCAAATATGATGCACTTCACTCTTAATCAGTAAGATCAAACAGTCAACAAGGTCACACTTTTCTGATGGAAAATTTCCATTTTCTTGTTGTACAGCTTCATTTTCTTAATCAGTATTGTTCTTGTTTTCCAGTATAATTCCAAATATTTTAACTTGGGAAGTAAAATTCTGTACACTGTATAATAACATTTGTCTTAATTGAAATTAACCCAATTTTTTCTTACCCCACTTTTTAAGCAAAAAAAAAAAAATCATACTTAAAGAGATGGTCCATCCAAAAAGTATATATA